GTTAAGCGCAAATTTCATTAGAGAAATGAGGCCATCCAGAGTTGACAGCCATAGAATAATCAGTTAAGTTGGTATCTCATCCTCTACCTTGAGCATTCAGTACAAAGGGTACAATTCCACTCCACTTATGGTTACAAGGAAAGGAAGACAGTAAGATGATGCAAAGGCTGACGTTATACTTCTAGGGAAAGGAAGAAGGAAAGTAATTAGGTATCCCCTCCTGAACACAATGATTGTTTCCCTGAGTGAGAGGCTTCCATAAACACCTGTGGTTCCAAATAATTGGCCTTTTTCATCTCAGGCTCCAATTACTCAGTACTCTGGGTTACAATGCCTTACTGATAAAGGCAGAGATTGTCCCTCCAAAGCAAAAGGTGCCTTAATATCAAGAGTATAACTAGAAGAACAAACTATAGGCTCTGAGGATAAGACACATGAGAAGTCATCAAGAGGGTGAGACAACCAGATTTTAGTAACATCTGGAAATTAACAGCAACCTAAGGCTAAAGAGTTTAACAAAGAAGGAAGAGGCGTCACTTCAGGAGCCTAGGGGCCAGGGTCATACAATGGATGATGGAACCATGACAGGCCTTTCAAAATAGAAATGAAGCCACAAAATAAACACCAGCAGAAGTAACTAGAGAAGAGAAGGGATGTCCTGCTTCTCTCTTAGATCTCTCAGCATTTTCCCACTGTGTTCCTCAAATCCAGAGGGAGCCAACTGTCAATGGAGCCTGGGAGGCAGCCTACAGTTTGCCCTTTCAGTACAGAGGGAGGCAGGAGAAAGGTACAAATGGACCCAGGGTCAAACAACCCAAGATCAGCATGACTTTCAATAAAGTTCACATCATAAAGACAATCTTGTAAATGTATCTGATCAACTACTTTACTTCAGGTATTAAACGAATCAGTTCTAAGACTTTACTTGTATATTAATACTTCTAGTCATCTTTCAGATTTTGAAATAAAAACTCCTGTAAAATCCAAGATCCAGAAATATAATGTTGCTAGGCAAGGTAAGAACAACCCAACTATTTGATATGTAAAAATGTGCAGTGGAGGTAAAGGACATCTGGTCAAGCCTGTCTTTTTATGTCTAAAAAGTCTAATTTGGAATAATGTAAAAGACATATTTTCTTTTTTTTTTCTCTCATTAAACTTTGTTTTAATGGGTCTCAAAATTCTGTGACAGATTTTTGGTCAAGTTGTGTTCATTAAAAAGTGATTTTAAAAACTAATAACTTAAAACTGTCATACACACAAAAAGAAAGCAAATGGTCCACAAAACACATCCTCCTTTCCTCCTGAAGGTTTTACAATGCATTGTTATCATTAACCAGTCTTTTACTATTAAACTTAGATGGCCAATTGGGAGAAACAGTTCTGAGACCGGCCTTCCACCACTGATTAAGACTGGGGTGGCAGGTGTTAGGGGTGATATTCATTTAGCCTTCTGAGCTTTCTAGGAAGACCTGGTGACCTTGCAGCTCCAGCAGCCTTCTTGTCCACTGCTTCGATGACACCCACAGCAACTGTCTGTCTCATATCGCGAACATCGAAACGACCCAGAGGTGGATAGTCAGAGAAGCTCTAGACACACATGGGCTTGCCTGGAGCCATGTCAACAATGGCAGCATCACCAGATTTGAAGAATTTGGGGCCATCTTCCAGCTTTTTACCAGAACGGCAATCAATCTTTTCTTTCAGCTCAGCAAACTTGCAAGCGATGTGAGCTGTATGGCAATCCAGTACAGGAGCACAGCTAGCACTGATCTGGCCTGGGTGGTTCAGGATAATCACTTGAGCAGTGAAACCAGCTGCTTCCATTGGTGGGTCATTTTTGCTGTCACCAGCAACACTGCCACGTTGAACATCTTTGACAGACACGTTCTTGACATTGAAGCCCACATTATCATCAAGAAGAGCTTCACTCAAAGCCTCATGGTGCATTTCAACAGATTTTTCTTCAGTTGTGACATTGACTGGTGCAAAGGTGACCACGATGCCAGGTTTGAGAACACCAGTCTCCACTCTGCCCACAGGGACGGTACCAATAATACCAATTTTGTAGACATCCTGGAGGGGCAGCCACAAAGGCTTGTCAGTTGGGCAAGTGGGTGGCAGGATGCACTCCAAAGCTTCAAGCAGTGTGGTTCCACTGGCATTGCCATCTTTATGAGTGACCTTCCATCCCTTGAACCAAGGCACGTTAGCACTTGGCTCCAGCATGTTGTCACCATTCCAACCAGAAATTGGCACAAAAGCTACTGTGTCAGGATTGTAGCCAATTTTCTTAATGTAGGTGCTGACCTCCTTAACAATTTCCTCATATCTCTTCTGGCTGTAGGGGGGCTCAGTGGAATCCATTTTGTTAACACCAACAATGAGTTGTTTCACACCCAGAGTGTAAGACCGAAGGGCATGCTCACGGGTCTGCCCGTTCTTGGAGATACCAGCTTTGAATTCACCAACATCAGCAGCAACAATCAGGACAACACAGTCAGCCTGAAATGTGCCTGTAATCATGTTTTTGATAAAGTCTCTGTGTCCTGGAGCATCAATGATAGTCACGTAATCCTTGCTGGTCTCAAATTTCACAGGGAGATGTCAACGGTGATACCACGCTCATGCTCGGCTTTCAGTTTATCCAAGACCCAGGCGTACTTGAAAGAACCCTTCCCCATCTCAGCAGCCTCCTTCTCAAATTTTTCAATGGTTCTTTTGTTGGTGCCACCACATTTGTCGATCAGATGGCCGGCAGTGGTGGACTTGCCTGAATCCACGTGTCCAATGACAATGATATTGATATGAATCTTTTCCTTTCCCAGTTGGCTTTGATTTAGTGGTGGTTTTCACTACACCTGTGCTCTTGCGGCAAACCCATTGGAAAAAAAATAAAAGATATTTTCAAAGAAAAATAAAATACTCCCTAAAAAAATGAAGATGCTATCAGCCAACATTTAGCATAAATTAAAATTATTGCCAAGTAAATGCTTCAACCGTGCTTTCTCTGAAGCATCTTTTTGGCATATCTTTGAAGAAATGTTCAATGTTTAATTACTGAAGACTAAATTCATACTTCTTATTCAATTCAAAAGATAAATCAGAGTGTTAACATGTATTCTTTGGAGTATGGGAATAAAAATATGTTGATTAAAAATTGACTTAGGCCGGGGATTTAGCTCAGTGGTTCTGCCCCGCCTTGCAAGCACAAGGTCCCAAGTTCGATCCTTGATACCAAAAAAAAAAATTGATTTAAAAAGTCAATCCTAGAGTTACCCATCCCTTCAAAAAAACTTACTGGTTCTTATGTACTAAGAAATATAAATAACAACAGCCATTATGAAAAATAGTATGGAAGTTCTTAAAAAACTAAAATTATATTATGATCTAGCTATCCTACTACCAAGTGTTCCAAAGGAAATGAAATCGGTACATCAGTGTATCAGTGTACTAAAGAGATAACCTGCACTCCATTTTTACTGCAGCCAACAACAGCCAACATCTGGAACCAACTGAGGTATGTCTATCAATGGGTGAATGGATAAAGAAAATGCAACATAAACACACAACAGATTATTATACAGCTGTTACAAACAGTGAAAGCTTGTTATCTGCAGCAATACAAGTGGAACCGGAGGACACTGTACTAAGTGCAATAAGCCAGGTACAAAAAGACAAACAATGTATCTTCTCACTCATTGTAGAAGCAAAAAAATGTTGAATTCATGTAAGTAGACAACAGAAGAGGGAGCACTAGAGACTAGAACGGGAGGGTGATAGAGGGAGGTGGCATAAAGGCTACCAAAATACAGTTACAGTAAGAACAGTACTAATAATATTCCATATTTCAATACATGATTATAGTGCACAACAACTTACATATTTTATAAGGAACTAGAAGCAAGGCATTCAAAGGTTCCCAACAAAAAGAAATTATGAATGTTCGAAGAGATGGAAATTCTAAAGATCTTGATTTGACCATTACACATTGTATATGTGTATGGAATTATGTATAATCAGAAAAGAAATAAACCAATGTTTCTTTCATATGCCAAAGAATAACTGCCAACAATAGTCAATATGTTTGGCTCTCAATTAAAACATATTACTAAATTAACTAGGAATACTTCAAGAACTCCCTAGGATTTCTGCCATTTGGCTAGGATTGTGACTACGTTTATCCAAAATTCATAGAAAACTATAAACAAAACTCATTTTAATTTTTCTGATAATCTCTTTCATGAAAATATATTTATCAAATATAGCTTTAAAAAACCAAACTTTCTAATGGTTAAGGAATCTGTATCTATTGGAAATATCTATTTTATCTTAATCAAATTGGCATATCAATAAGTCAAATCAGTAAACACTATAAGTTTCAATTTATATACATTTTAAAATATTCTGCCTTCACTCATTTCAATAGCAATCTACATACAAAGCTATGTAACATACTTTAATTTTATTATTTTGGTAACAGCAATAAATTCTATTTTATGTGAAAAAGGGCAATGACTCTATAGCCCAAAGGACCCTAAGTCAGGACACTCGGCATGGTAGTAAAGGAGGAAACATGCTAATTTTCATAAAGTAGTCCTAACATATCCTTAGCAATCCTTGGAGGCTTTCAGGCAGACGTTTAGATCTCTACAAATTCCAAAAGTAGAAAAATAATTATTTATTATGATTGTAAAGAGAAAATGTTTATTCTTTTGTAAAAACATGATGACCAGCCAATATAGTACCATTTTAGAATAATTTGTCATAAAAATTGTTGCTATTTTAAAAATACTGACACCATTCTGCCATTTAGTACATTATAATTAAATATAGGGCCGGGGATTTAGCTCAGTGGTGCAGCCGCCTGCCTTGCAAGCACAAGCCCCCGAGTTCAATCTCCGGTATCAAAACACAAAACAAAAAAAATACAGAAAAATGCTACCTTATTCACTGCTTTTATTTTATCAATGAAAGTAGTTTTTTCTGTGAACACTTACCATCCACTCAGATACAATAACGTCCACTTTTTCTACAGGAAGATGAACTTCTTCAATCTTTCCTTTAATTAGTACAATAGTATCTTCAAGTTTGTTTAGTCTGAAAATTACCATAATAAATTGCATTAGTATATTAAACAGACTCTGAAAGCTAGTTAAATTACATATTTTTTTTGGCCAACTGTTCACACTCTTTTGTGAAACAAAAAAGTGTTCGAAATTTATCCTGTGAGTATTATAGTTACCTTTTGGTTCTCCCATGAATGCCAGAGATGTTTCTGGTTAATATGGCAGTATATAAACCAATAATGGAAACTTCCAGTCAAAAAGAAATCAATTTTGGGGCTGGGGATTTACCTCAGTGGTTCCACCGCCTGCCCAGCAAGCGCAAGGACCCGAGTTTGATCCCCAGTAGGCCCCCCAAAGAAAGAAATCAATTTTATAAAAAATACATGTCAATAAACTTACTATGGTTTTTTTTTTTTTTGGTACCAGGGATTGAACTTGGGTCCTTGAGCTTGCACAGCAGGCGACGAAACCACTGAGCTAAATCCCCGGCCCAAACTTACTATGTTTTTAAAAAAGAAAAAAGGTATGTGTGTGTGTGGGGGGGGGGTGAAGACAGAACACCAACAATAAAAGTGCCGTTTAAAGAGAATCAAAGTATGTTATAAGCACGTACAAACATGGCAAAATGAAATAAAATTTAAAATTTTTTCAAGGACAGAACAAAAAGAGAATGTAAAATATCTTGTTAAACGTTTTATATATAGACTACCGGTTGAAATGAAAATAGTTTGGCTATATTGGGCTTAATAAGATTACTAAAGATAAACTAAGAGTAAAGGGAAGTCGTGGTGGTGAAAGAATTAGAAGCCAGAAGCCTGTAATTTCAAGGCCGGGGATTTAGCTCAGTGGTTCCGGCACCTGCCTCGAAAGTGCAAGGTCCTGAGTTCGATCCCCAGTGCCAAAAAGAAAAAAAAAAAAAAAAAATGAAGCCCAGATCCTCTAGCCGACTATCTGACTCTCACCAAGCTTAATCATCTCATCAAGGCAGTGCGTTCACACGTGAGGGAGTAACACTTGTCCTGGTTACTTCACGGGCTATTAGAGGATCAAATATTTGTAAAAACTATGTGTATGTTGCAAGCACTACATAATGGTAACGATATCACGAAAAGCAAAATGATTGCTCCTCATGGGAAGTGCACATACTCTCAGGTGCATTCAGAGGAGGGAGCGTTGGCTTAAGCAGTGACGTGATGCCCAGATGAGCTCCCCACCCCTGGCCCCCTTCAGCCTCCTCTGCAGGCTGAGGGGGTGGGGAGAGAAAAGACTTTCCCATCTCCAAATTATAATTTCATAGGCTGCTTTTCAGAAAAAAACAAAGGATCAAGGGGAGGGAGGAAAACGATAGGGAGATAAAACAATAAGCAGCTCATAGAGGGGTTGTTTAGATGCTCTTAGAAAAACAATGTGAAAAGGAGGAATTAAGACAGGGCCTCTACAAAGGAATTATGAACAAGCCCTGTAGAGGCCATTAGGGATTACAGAGGCTTACTGTTTGGCTAAATGACTGCAGAAAACAATAAATATGATTAACATCTGAAAATATATGGCCAGAAGATGTTGATCAAGGTCAGAAGGTACAATGGGGAGAAAGAAATTAAAACAGCTGATCATGGGGAATTATTTTCTGCAGAACATTAATCTCCCAGGTGAATTTTCCACTTAAAGTGACTTAATATCCTTGCAGAGTCTGGGAGATTACAAATATTAACAATAAACTCTGACATATTTTAATTTCCAATTTCTAAGTTTTTCATGGTTGTCTTCTTACATTTCCTGTCCCCTCATTTCTTGACCTGGATAAATATGTTTATGTATTATTTATGTACTTAGGACCTTAATACTTTTGTTTTTTCATTTCCAATTCTTACACTTTCCTTTTTATCATCTTGCTGCACTGGCTAGATCTCTGCATTACAGTGCCGCATGAAGAGGTGACAACTGGTATCCCTGTCTTGCTCCTAAACTCACAGAGGAAGCTTTTAACACATTATCAAGACGTTAACTGTGGGTTCTGTTTTTGTTGATATTCCATATCATATTAGGACATTATTTTCCAGGTCTAGTTTTTTTGTTCTATTTTGTTTGTTTGCTTAGTTATTTTGGTACTAGAGATTGAAACCAGGGCCTCTGCACTGAGCTCCACCCCCAGCGCTGTTTTTATTTTTGTTTTTGAGACAAGGTCCTAACTGAGCTGCACAGGCTGGGCGTGGCCTTGCGATCCTCCTTCCTCAGGCGCCTAAGTGCTGGGATTACAGGTGTCTGCTGCCAACACCAGCTTGCCTAGAGTTTCAAATACATAGATGCACAGAACAGGTAGTGAATTTTACCATTTTTTCTGCAAATACTAAGATGATTCTCAATAGATTTTTCTGGCTAATTTTCTCATATTTAACCAACTTTGCATTCACGTGGGAGACTGTTATCAGTATATTGCCCAATTAGCTACCTAGCATGCTTTCTTTTTTGAGTGCTGAGGATGGAACTCATGGTCTCCTGTGTGCTAAACACATAGTCTACCACTGAGTTACACCCCCAGGCCAGTTTTCTAATACTGTATTTTGATTAGGATTCTTGCACCTATGTTCATGAATGAGTGATTTGTGATTTTTCTATTCTACTCCCTCAGTAGGGTTTTGGTATCAAAATTATTGGGCCCGTATACTGATGATTTATTCTTGACAATGATGACCTGTAAGTATAAAGAAAAGAATGGGTTTTGTAATAAACTGCATAGGGTAAGTTGGTCATCTAAACAGAAGGTGGGCTGGGGGATGAATTAATGAATAAATGAATGAGAACAAACTGGACCACTACTTCATATCATAAACAAAATCCAATTCCTGGTAGATTAGTCCTAAATATAAAAAGCACAATTATGCCTCCGCCTGCCTCACAAGCACAAGGGCCTGAGTTTTGATCCCAGGTACTGAAAAAAAAGGGGACAATTATAAAGCATTTACAAGAGGATATATTGTCTGTGACTTCAGAATAGGCAAATACAATTTACTCAACTTACAAATAATGGCAACCATAAATAAGTATGTTACTAAATGAGAACTGAGAAATTATGAAGGTGGTAAAAAGACAACCAAGAACAAGACAAACCTTTTGCATTACACAAAATCTATGAACAGCCCAAATCATTTATATATATTTATATATATATATTCTTCAAATATATATTCTACAATACATAAGAAAAAAGACACAACTCAAAAGAAATCTATGCAAAAAACATAAGCAAATATTTGATAGAAAAGGAAATCCAAATGGCCAATAATCACATGATATAGTCTCATCATTAACCACAGAAATAAAATACTGAAATGTGCTATTGCTATACAACCAACTTTAAAAGGTAGATAGTACAACCAGAACTTTAATATATTACTGGCCTAAGTGTAAAGTGGTATAACAACTTTGGGAAATAGCCTGGTAATGTCTAGAAAATTTGAAGTTGTGCACATCTCAATGCAATTCTACTTGTAAGAACATACCCTACAGATGTGTGTACCAGGGTACATGTGCAAAATATTCATAACACAACTGTTCTCAGCACCCCATGTGATTGAGAAAGAGCAGTGGATGTGGGGAGGATTTGGAAGTGTTGGCAATGTTGTATCTCTTGCCCTGGATGATGGCTACTACACTGTTACCGTTTATATTTGGATGTCCCCCCAAAGCCTCATGTGCTCACAGGTGGGACTGTGGGGAGGCTAATGCATCATGGTGGCGTGATACTCACCAGTGGATTAGTCTACTGATGAGTTTATAGTTAAATGTGACTTGGGAGGTGAAGCCTAGCTGGAGGAGGGGGTCCCTGGGACATGACCTGAAAGGGTCTATCTCCCTCCTCCTCCCTTGATCTCTCTCTGCCTCCTGCCTGCCACACCATGAGCTCTTTGTCCTCCACCATGCCACCATGCCTTGGAGCCAGCTGACTATGGACCAAAACCTATACCAACTGGGAGCCAAAATATTTCCTCCTTAGAGTTGTGTTGGGCAGAATGTCCCACCAACGAGAAAGTAACCAAGACATATATGTTTAATTTCATTTGTTATTTATGCATATTTCTTTATATTAATGTTCATTCATGCTTTTGTTTTTAATCTATATTGTATTTCATACAAAAACAAAGAAAAAAGCTTTTATTGGAGTTTTTCAAAGGGATATTTAATAAAGTTCCTTTTCATGTACTTATCAGAGTTGCTTGCTATTTACTGAAATCCTTATTAAGGTTTTAACAATTACACCCTTGAAAGAGAAAGAAAAGGAATGCTTCTTAAAAGAGCAAAACGTTCCCATTGCCTAGAAATATATTCAGAATGGTTATGCTGAAACAAGATCAGTGTTCTGTAAAAGGCCATCTGCTCAGGCTGTTTATTGTCTGCTACAAGTCATAATCCTATTTGCATCAGTAATTACTTGTTCAAATATGAATATAACAGGAAAGAGTATGATTCTAGCAAATACACAGGAAAAAAAGACAAAGCCTCATAATTCCCAGTAATTTGGATAAAACTCGCTTAAAACAGATACTGTCCACATAGATCACTTCTTTCAAGAGACTATTAATTTTTATTACTATCTGATTTTCCATTCATAAAAACACTATAGATTTTACTTAGTTTTCTCAGGTAGCTACTCACTAAATCTTATTTTAGCATAAAAGCATTTGAAATGGATCCTATCTTTGGAAACACCTGCTAAAAACTAGCACAGCATTGCTCTGCAGAAGCATGACATTGCAACAAAAAGGGTACTTTAAGCAATTCTCTTAGCTAAAACAATTAAAAACACTCCACTGTCAATTTTTTCTGCATGGAATTTTTACTAAAACAAACATCATTTTTCTGTATTATTTCCAATCTTAAAAGCAGCAATTTAACTTATGATATAGGGATGTCATCATAACTAATATCACTGAGCATACAAAGAAAATAGTCTATGCACATAGACTATTCCCTAAGAGAGAAAGAACAGTAAACAGCATAGACTATTACAGGAGCTCATATTGCAAACCCTTA